TATATATTTCCATCTATTTTCATTCACTATCCTCAGCTTCACTCAACTTCTATGCATCATATGGAACGTATCTACTCTGCTACAAATACTATTTTCTTTACTTCTTAGAAAAATTTAAGCTATGACATAATCAAAACACATCTCTAAAATTTTCTCTTTATTTTTTGTCCATTTCAGGCTCTAGTTTTAGTCAACAGCAGCAGTCTGATTTCTGGGACATCCGAAGAAGATGAGAAGGCAGGCAGAAAGATACTACATGTGGCAAATATCTGCCACCTGAGACACCAAACCCCACATATTAACAAAACTTATGTGAAGACACTTAGGATGGAAATATAAAGTCAACACATATGTAGACTTTAACTGCAAGGTCTCATTTGATATCACTTAATTACAAGATTAAATTGCAACCTTCCACTTTGTTTTACGCCAAAACCTGAAGCCAGAGGAAATTTCCTGATTAGGTATGGTCCCAGTATGCAGCTGAACTTAACCACTATTATAAAATGCATGTTAAAATAATAAATGAAAGATGTGCATCTTTCAAATTCTACCTCTTTGTTAAATATAATCCTTGTACTATACTGCAGATAAACAGAATTTTTAAAATGTTCTACAAAGAAATTATCAAAGCACTGCTATTGGCCCACTCTTGTAAAGTGAAGCCATACCAGCAGACTGCCACAACTTACTCTCAGCTGGAATTCCAGCTTTGTTATGAATAAAAACTGGAAGGAAGGGAAGAAGTGTCCCAGAATGGTGATAACCATTTTATTAAGCAAGAGGGCTTAGGTATGAAGGAGCCATGCACATTTCCCTTCCAAATTATTATCTTTCAAGTCACTATTATAATTAAGGTTATAAACCTGAAATCCGAAGTAATTCAACAGGGCATTTGAAAACATTGTTCACCACCTTCCCTGTAACGTGGATCAGACTAACTCCACCACCACTTCTCCTTCTCCCTCTCCTTACAAAAGCTATAAGAGAAACACTCCAGTCAGCTGTAAATGTGGATTGTGTTCAAAGACTTGGGATCATGCTTTTCTTTCTGGCTTCACGACTAACAGTCCTGATAAAACTAGGCAAATTAGTTAACATCTCAGTATCTCAGTTTCCTAACAAGTAAAATGAGAGAAACACTCAGGGGTTGTTCTGAAGAATAAATGAGCCTTTGTGCTTAGCATATAAGGGCTCACTGAAAGAGACCTACAGTTGATAACTGCTTACTATAGAGTTTACAAGATAGTTACCAACAAGCAACTAATTGCCAGGTGCTAAGTATGCAATGGTCTAACAAGATTTAATTCAATATGTATCTGAGCCCTTCATAAGCATTAAGACTCTGGTGAAGAAAGTGGTCTGGAACCCAAGTTGAAATTCAAACTACTAGGTTTTGAGGGAGAGGGTTTCCAGGAAGGGAAACAAAGTGCTCCTGGTTTCATGGAAAACAACAAAGGCCAAAAAGGAGGCCAAATTTTTAGTGACCCCATATAACATTGTCTTATAATATTTACACCCAAATAATAGCAGATGCTACTATAATCAGAAAGGTATAATTAGCAGATGCTACTGGGCCAGAGAAAAGTGATACAGACCATAAGAAATTAGTATGAGGGTGACAAGAGAATTGGGTAAGATTATGGGATTAGCAAAATAAGGACAGAAACTCAAAGATATAAGAACACTTTTTGAGCTTTGTAAAATGCATACTTCTAGAACCAGCAGGTCTGAGGTACAGCACAGGTAACTATGTTTTGCAGATTTCATTGGTGATTCTAATACATGCCCCAAATAGCACAAAGCAAGCTCACCAATTGCATAGGACTAGAACATGTGGCTAAAATGCTGATTTGAACACTTAAATCATGAATCTGGATCAACTATAGTGAAAATAGGTTCCAGACCCATAAAAGTCAGTGGAATTTATAGATTGGGAGAAAATTATAGACTCAGGACAAAGTTAAAAGTGGAATGGCTTCATGTGATCTCATTTGATAGGGTTAGGACGTTGACTCTCAAACTTGGCTAAACATCAGAATTACCTGGGGAGGCTCAAAAACCTGATGCCCAAGTCATACCTCAAGTCAACTAAAACACATTCTGAAAGTGAAAGCCAAACATCAGCACTGTTTAAAGCTCCCCCAGGTAATTCCAATGTACAACCAAGTCTGAGAAACACAGAAAGTTTTCAGGCAATCTGTAGGTGACTTAGGGGATAGTAAGTTAATGGTTCTTAAATGCCAGCGTATACAAGAATCACCTGGAAAGTAGACTGTGGCTCAGTAGAAAAAGGGCTAGTTCCCTTGAGGTTTACAAATACCCAAGGTGATTGTAATATATAGCAATGCTTGAGAGCCACTGGGCCAGATAACTAGAAATAACTCCAAATGAGAAACTGAGGAATCTGAACAGCCCAAAGCATTCCCATCCTTCTATGGCTGATGAACACAAGCTCATTCTATGAGGTATAATAAACATTACAGAATAAACCCCAAAAAATAACTGACAGTAAAGTTAAAGGCACCACAGACTTCACACATGTAATATGTACGACTCATCTTTTGCCTCAGAAGTCAACTTTCCAACTACTCACATCTGGCCTCTTGGTGGATAGCATTAAAAAAGCATGCATTGCCACCTGCCTTTCAGAATTAAAAACTTAGCTTTTGAGGAATCCAGAAAAATCAACACACACACAGCAGCAGCAGCAGATACAACAGGAATTCTTGTTACAATGCAGAAAGAAAAAACTCTTACGTTACAGTTGTAAGGTCTGAACCTAGCCTTTCACAAAACATCAGTTGCATACCTCTGCTTGTAACTTCAATAACATATGTAACTCTTATTGAACAATGTTGCCCTTTTTTCTCCTCCCCATCATGACCAAGCCTATCCACAAGATATGCCAGAAGAAAACACTTAGAAACATCAAGAAATCACCCAGCTACATAGTAATACTTTACTTAAGACCACTTCCAACTTAAGACTATTTTATTCAGAATGTTACATTGTATCTGCTAAGATTCAAGAGAATACATTCCTGTGCACATGACCAACTCATCATCCCATCAGAATTCTCTATAGCAGCACCAGAATTTTCATTTTTAAGATACATGAGCTTTTGTCAAATGGTGACATCTCCTCTGTAATATGAATTTTCAATATGATATAAAAAATGATGGATATATTACACATTTCACAGAGCACAGAGAACAGAAACCTGTCAATGAATTTAAAATTTGTGACAATGTATTTGAAATCTTACACTAAAAGATCTGTACACTTCCATAAACCATATAAATGTAAAACAGGTACTAATGCTTTTTACTGGCAACAAGAAATAAAATATTCTAACAAAGTTTGGTTGTTACATTAGTACATTCTTTAATGATTTTAATTAACATTTCAGTTGAAAATAATGCAACACTTTATGTAACCTTCACAGTGCAACTGATGAAAACTTTAATTCCATGTAACATCCAAACAAAGCCCCTGACAGATTTTTTTTTTCCACCACCACTAGAACTTCACAAATCTTCAAATATATAAAGCTATAGGTCTTATTGGAAGCTTATAGTTAAACCATTCTTTTAAAGAAAAAAGGAACTTAAACACTTTAAATCTAAAGGGAATCCTAAGTGTTTAGATTTCTTCACTTGAACCTATCAATCTCATTCTACAAAATGACTTAATAAATGCTTGTCTTCCAGACCGTCATTAATAAGCACAAAAAAGAAAAATTTTACAAGAAAGAGTTAAATTAACCAGAAATATAGTGATTTGTTTTGATGTAGAAACATAAAAGGAGAAATTTATTACATCTTGAGGGGGTGACAATTCAAATAGCAGATAAGAATTGATTTTAAAGTTATTAGTTAAGCTATTTGATAATTTTGAGTTTAGACCTTTACAGTGTTATTCCATTTAAGTCATATGTTGCCACACATAAATTAGCTTCACATGACAGAACATAGCTAATTTTTAAATTTAATGCTCCCAGCTTCCTTAAAATCAGGATACCCAATTCTTTACTTGGGTAGTAGTAGTCCAGGACATGGAAATGAACACCAGTTAATTTTTCTAAAGCTGCCAACAGCAAATAAGATTCACTAATCGGTTTTAAAGACCCCACCGAAAGGCATATTACATGCCGTCGTCCCCACCCCCACTCCACTCAAGCATTCACCGCAAACAGGACTCTGACAGGAGCATAATACTGATTGGGAAATCGAGATATACAAAGGGAGTGAGGGTCCTTTCAAAAGAGATTCCACCTCTGCTTTGAAAAGGTCATTTGCAATCAGCAGATCTTCGTTCTCTATTTTAGAGATCACCACTGTATTCTAAACAGAAGCCAACAGAGGGAGGAAAACAAAGCGGAGCGGCAAAGCTAGGGCTCCAAAAGTTTTTGCTCCACCGCCTGTACCTCACCCACTTGGGGTCGGGGCCCCAGGGCTTGGGGTAGGGGATGACCCGGACCCTGAGGAGAGGCTAGAAAGGGTGAGTAGTAGTGACTGACACTTGATATTTGGAAGTCCACCGCCGATGTCACTCATTGGTAACAAGCCTGCGGTGCAAAGACAGAAATCAACCCACGTCCAATCAGTGCAATGGGACGGCGCTCCAGCGATCCCTTAGGAGTGCTCCGATGCGGGGGATCTCAACTTTGGAGACAGGGGTCCGGGGCCTTTTGAAATAAAAGGCAGTAGACTGGGTGCGTCCTCCAGTGAGCTCAGTTTCCCTCTCCTCGGATTCCTGCGCGAACTAAAAGGCACACCGCATTAACCCCTCGGCTGCCTCCAGACCTAGGGATCCGCAGTACTGACCGGGTCACTCCGAGGGAGAGTGGGTCCCAAAATCTCACGCAGGTGAAGTTCGTAATACTGAGTCCTTACTCCACTGCAGGCGGCGCACCCATCCCCAAGCCTACTCCAGCGGCGTCCCTGGCCCGGACCCCACCCGAGACAGCGCCCCCAGCCCGCGCCCCCCGCGCCTACCTTGTGCCAGCGCCCGCACCAAGTGCATCTGAAGCGCGAGTAGTGCCCACCACCCGCGGCGGCCCGGGCCGAACTTTGCCGCCTGCCGCCCCGCGTCCCGGCCGGGGGTCTCGGGGTCGTGGCCGGGTGGAGCCCCCCGCAGCCGCCC